CCTTCAACTCTAGACTTTGTTTCTTGGTAATTATAGTCTGTTCTTACACTATCCAATGTAATAAAAACTTTTTTTTTTAATGACACCTGGCTCCTTCTTGCCCTACAGGGTTCTCCTACTCCTCTGACACAGAAAAATTCTGTCTTGTCATGCCTGTCATCCCTTTCACTTCAGTTAGGCCTTAAAACTTCCTCTTAACTTCCATGTTCCCAACATCTACTACCAAACCTCACTAAAAGGAACCACCAGACTACTTTGATCCCTGTAATTCCCAGGGATCAAATTCCCAGTTGCTAGGCTCTCCCAATACTACAACTGCCTAATATAGACTTTTCCAGTTACTTAGGGCACACTGACCTGTCAAGTCTGCCTCACCAGCTAATCTCCAAAACTTGGCCCTATTTCAGATACTCATTTAAAAATATTATTTCACCACATGGATCTTCGTAATTTACATTTGCTATAGCTTACTGTTAAAATGAGTTCCTTTTACCAGGGGATCTATAATTAATGATCAGGGAGAAAGGCCTAAAATATACCATACTTGTACTTATTAAGGTACCCCAGAAACTAGTATACTCCTCTTAGTTATCTGTTAAATAATGAATAAAAAATATAAAGTAATGTTTATACATACTAAAATATAAGTTATGATTATAAATACAGAAAATTCTCAGGGGGCATAATTCAAAGAATGTTATTTATAAATAAAAATAAATAGATGACAATATACATATATAAGCAATTCACAAAAGGCAAAACACAAAAGAACAAGAAATATTTAAATATTACATAAATACAAAGTAAAATATCACCTTTTGTCAGACAGATTGGCAAAGACTGAAATTTTGTCAAGAAGTAAGGAAATAACTAGATATACTTCTGGCAAATATAATTTTGTCTTTTTGGAATCTATACACCAAATATTTTTAAAATCCACATACATCTTTAACCAGTATTTCCATTTCTAATAATTAATTATAAGAAAATAATTGGACAAAGAGATGTTTATTAAAAAAATTCACTATGGCACTAACTACAATAAAAATCTGTCCAAAAATAAGGGCTCAGTTAAATAAATTTTAGTACATCCAAACCAATAATTATTATTAAATCACTTCAAAACAGTATATATTGTATAATCCTAATTTCTAAGAAATAACATATTCACATAAAAACATACCTGCATAGAAAAAAAATCTAGCAGTGTACACCCCAGAAATGGAATTTTTTGTGATTTTTTTTCTTTTTTTCTTATCTATCACACCTAATTTTCTACAGTAAGCACAGGTTGCACATGGATAATAATAACACACATTCTTAAAAGGCAAAACAACAACTAAGATCACAATTTAAAGGCAGAACAGTGCTGCTATTAGAACACAGAACATCCAAGTTCCATGATAATACTAAAGTCAGGCAAAGTTAGTATCAGATAACTTAGAATTCAATAGCCTAGTGTTTAATTAGTTTTAGTATACATACGGAAGAATCTGTTATGACTAAAAAAGCATGTAACTCAGGTATTTTAACAAAACAAAAGACTTCCCAAATAAAAATGTAGTACTAATCCTAGAGACAATGTTGAAAAATCACATAGTAAAAATCTCAACTGTTTCAAGTTGAGTATCAACTTAAACCCCCTTTGCATGCCTAGGGTCTCATTCTGTTACCCAGGCTGGAGTGCCACAGTGGCACTATCACAGTTCACTGCAGCCTCAACCCCCCAGCCTCAAGTGATCCTCCCACCTCAGCCTTCCAAGTAGCTGAGACTACAGGTATGTGCCACCATATCTATTTTTTTTTTTTTTTAGAGATAGGGTCCTACTATGTTGTCCAAGTGGGTCTCAAAATCTTGGGTTCAAGCAATCCTCCTGCCTCAGCCTCCCAAAGTGCTGGGATTACAGGCACGAGCCACCAAACCTGGCTCTTTTATACATTTGCCTTGAAAACCTCACTGTTATGAGAAAGTGGCTGCCGAGAAAGTAAGATTTAAAAATCACTCATGAGTTTAAGAATTTAACTCTATTGTTTAGCTGAAAAGAATCTCGTTATCTCAGACTTGAACAGTTTGGGGGATGACAACTGAGAGTCAATAACAAAAGAGGGTCTCTTAAGCTATTCTAGGACTACACATCTACTACAGGTTGAGCATCTCAAATCCAAAAATCTGAAATCCAAAATCTTCAAGATTTCAAAGTTCTTGAGTATCAACATAATGCTCAAATAAAATGCTCATTGGAGCATTTTGGATATGGGATTTTTGGATTAGGGATACTCAGCCAGTAGGCAAAATTCCAAAATAAAAAAAAAAATCTGAAATCCAAAACACTTCTGGTCCCAAGCATTTTGGATAAGTTATACTAAACGTGTACAAGCTAAGAATGTATATCCCCAGGCACTGGGTACAATTTCTAGCCAATATCCAGGGAATTGCTTATGGCCACGAAGAGTATTATCTAGGAACTATCTGCAATGCCTGTTTCAACATGACCTGCAACACAGCCAGTTAGTAAATTCTCATTAAGATTAATCCATAAACTATAATTTTCTTTTTTTTTTTTTTTTTTTTTTTTTATGAGACAGAGTTTCGCTCTTGTTACCCAGGCTGGAGTGCAACGGCGTGATCTCAGCTCACCGCAACCTCCGCCTCCTGGGTTCAGGCAATTCTCCTGCCTCAGCCTCCTGAGTAACTGGGATTACAGGCACACGCCTCCATGCCCAGCTAATTTTTTGTATTTTTAGTAGAGGTGGGGTTTCACCATGTTGACCAGGATGGTCTCGATCTCTTGACCTCATGATCCACCCACCTCGGCCTCCCAAAGTGCTGGGATCACAGGCTTGAGCCACCACACCCGGCCATAAACTATAATTTTCAATGAAGTTGGCTGGCATAAAATGAATGATCATTTCCAAATGTCTGTGGCAGAATATGAAAAATTATTTAACTGTAACCAAATAATTAATGGCAGGTATCCGTGGAAAGTTATTTAATGGCAACTTCACACCTATAACAGTTTGCAAATCAAGTCTCAATGCTTCCACTAGGATTTGATAGCAGCTGTGAGGAAACAGGAAGCACTAAGCACAGGACAGCTCTACCATTTCTTTAATTAGTAACGTTTTTGATGAAAGCAATTTTTGTTGCATAAGGAAAGTTTTCAGTAGAGGAGAAAACTAAGTAACAACTTTATATGTTGGAGAGTTAGTTGCATTTGTGTAACACAAGCAGCATACAATACCAAAACTGACAACATAATTTCGTAGTTACTGCTGAAAATAAATACCTCCTTGCTTTAGTGACAACTCTAGCACCATTCATACGCTCATACCCCCAACAAATAAATATATGAAAACTATTTATATTGTTTATTCTAGGACCTGGGGATGTAAGCGTAAACAAGCATAGTCACTGTCTGTCTTCATGAAACATACTGTCTAGCAAGGGAGACAGATGTTAAAACAAATAATTACATATTTGACTATAACTGCAAATGTCATGATGTTATTAAACAAAAGAGCAGGGTGCTATGAGAGCATATAGTAGGACTGCAGTCAAGTAAGCCAAACACAAGGGAGGGGAAGAGAGGTCCAGGTAGAGGAAATCTGTGCAAATCCCTGCAGCTAGAACCACCTTACCCAATCTAGGAAATGAAACAGTCTAGTATAACTGAAGCACTGAGATTATTTCTTGGGCACACATCAAGTCTAAGATGTATAAAGACATCCAAGAGATCGAGATAGTAAATGCTACATGAATTTGGAACTCAGAAGTATAAACTTAGAAGCCATTAGCTTAGAAATAGCATGGAATGCACAGGAACTGGAGATTTCTTAGGCAAGGTGAGCAGGACTGTATATTGGAGGGCAGGGGGTCAAGATTACTTTCTTTCTTTTTTTTTTTTTTTTTTGAAACAGAGTCTTACTCTGTCACCCAGGCTGCAGTACAGTGGCGCAATCTCAGCTCATTTCAACCTCCACCTCCTGGGTTCAAGCAATTCTCCTATCTTAGCCTACCAAGTAGCTGGGATTACAGGCGTGCACCACCATGAGCGGCTGATTTTTTTGTATTTTTAGTAGAGACAGGGTTTCACCATGTTGGCCAGGCTGGTCTTGAACTCCTGACCTCAGGTGATCCACCTGCCTCGGTCTCCCAAAATGCTGGGAATACAGGCATAAGCCACCATGCCCAGCCATGATTACTTTCTTAATCACAGAAAAAAAAAAATTAATTACTTCTCTCTGGATTTGCAATCAAAAGAAATAAAGTATTTTGTCTGCTTCCTTTTTTTTTTTTTTTTTTTTGGTTTTTTTTTTTAGGGGGGAGAGGATCTCACTATGTGCCCAGTCTGACTCAAACTCCTGGGCTCAAGATATCCTCCCACCTCACCTCCCCAAGTGCTGGGACTATAGGTGTGAGCCACCCAGCCTGGCCAAAAGTATTTTCTAACACTATAGTTACAATACAATGTTCCATTTAATGGGAAAGGTAAAATTAAATGTATAAAGTTCTTGGAGAAACACCAAGAACTAGGAAAAACACTTCTTTCAGTGAGCCTAACTGCAGTTTATCAGAGCACTTCCTTCTAGCATTTTTCAGTGACCTGGAAAATGAACCTTTTTTTTAAAAAACACAGATCCAACTACTTCACAAGATTTGTCACTAAAAATGCTTTGAGTCTGCAGAACTGCCACCTACTGAAGCTGTATCATGATCATAAGCATTCTGAACACATCAACAAGTCCTAAAGGGATGTGACATCAAGAACAGACAAAGCTTCTGCCTTGCACACCCAGAAGTTACCAACTTTCAGAAAATCATTCTAATCCTTAAACAACCTGCCCTACACAGCTTCCAATGATGATTATATAGTATGTAAATGCTTTAAAAAGTGATGAGTCAGGTTACAGTTACAAAAAAGAAAAGCTGAGTTAAAATGTTTCACAATTTTTGGCCAAAGCACCACGTAAGCATGAAAAATGCCTTAACACGAACTCACCTGATTTATTTGAAGCATGTTAAGACAATATTGACCAAACTGCTGTATCCCTCACGGCTCCAAAAACTGGAAAATGAAAATGAAGAAATAAAGTTCAACTTAATTGATAATCTCAATGACTGGGATTTTAAACACATGCCCTTGATCAAAATCAAGTATAAAATGTAATTTATCCAGATCTGCATAGAACTTTTCATGACGATAAAAATGTTCTATATTTGTACTGTCCAATCTGGCAGTCATTAGCCACATGTGGCTACTGAGCACTTGAAATGTGGCTAGAGCAATCAAGAAAATACGTGTTTTTCTTTTATGTTAACTTAAATAAGCACATACCACTAGTGGCCACCATACTGCACAGTACAGATCTGAACAAAGCCCCTTCTGCTTCTAGACTTCTAAGACAATCCCAACAAAAGTGAAGCTGTTAAAAAACAAATCTGAAAGTTAATATTTAATGTATACATCCCTTTTTGCAGCCATGTTTTAAATAGCTTTGTTCTCATCTTCTATATGATAAATTAATCCTAAAGAAGATGCACCACCACAAGTATTCTCTTAGATGGTATGGAAACAAGCATATAGTACAATCACCTTGCTGATTATTTTTTTCTCTGTCATTTGTCTGTTATCATTGGTATAAAAATAGTATGCATATTAAAATTTCAGGTCAGGCATGGTAGCTCACACTTGTAATTCCAGCACTTTGAGAGGCTGAGGTGGGTGGAATATTTGAGGTCAGGAGTTTGAGACCAGCCTGGTCAACACAGTGAAAACCCTGCCTCTACTAAAAATACAAAAATTACCCGGGTATGGGTGGTGCCTGATCCCAGGTACTCGGGAGGCTGAGGCAAGAGAATCGCTTGAACCCAGGAGGTGGAGGTTGCAGTGAGCCCAGATCCAACCACTGCACTCCAGCCTGGGCTACAGAGTGAGACTCCATCTCAAAAAAATTTTCACATAAAATTTTCTGAAAAACTCACCATCATGACTATTGTTACATTTGGGTTTACCTCCTTCTGGGCCTGTACCCTTTTCCTTGGTTATATTTCTTTTACATGGTGAAGCTCTTTTACATGTAATTTAAAAACAGATACCAATGACAGGAAGAAAGTCCAAATTATAAACAAATAAATCATGGGATCTTGTAATGAAAAAACATTTATATAAAACATAAATTATGTACAGACCTCTCCCCCAAAAATTATCTACAAAGCAACAACAGTTTTGATACACAGCAAAAGCGCTACATCTAATCACTTGTGTAGAAACTTTTATGCTGTAAAATTTTAATACTGAACTTTCTCTTAGAAGCAAATGTTTTGTAAGTACACACACACACAAACACACACTATTTGACTACCATTTTTTCAACATGACAAACTGGAGTCAATTCAAAATGACTTTCAAAACTTTAATATTTTTCTTATAATAGTGTCCTCAGTATCTGCATCAATTTTTATTTCTTTTCTAATTACTTTCACATTTCCTATAAGAATGGGATGCTGTATAAAGAGCACAAGGCCTGGGTATTGGTGAATTTCAGTTTTAGTCAAAGTTCTTCAGGAGATTACCTTCTGAGCCTTGGTCAAATTACTTTGTGTATCTTTTGAGTTCTTCTTTTTCTGTCTTCTTTTTTTTTCTTCAATCTTTAAAAAGTAAGCTAAAGTCCTTGTGGTAGGCAGCCTCTAACAAACAGAATACAGCAGAAATAATGAGATACCACTTCCAAGATTAGGTTATAAAAATTCTTCGGTATCACCTTCTCTCACTCATTTGCTCAGAGGGGAGCAGACACTAAATGGTGGTGCCCTTTGGAGAGGCCCACATGGCAAAGAACTGAGAAAAGCCTCTGGCCAATAGCCATCAAAAATTGATTTCTTCAGTCCAAGAGCCCCAAGAAACTGAACCCTACAAGAGCCACATGAATGAGTTTGGAAACAGCTCTTCCACCAGTAAAGCCTCCAGATGCAACTGCAGCCTCAACTGACAGCTTGACTACCATCTCTTTTATAAGCCGCAGGCACCCAGATAACTTGCACCCCGATTTCTAGCTCACAGTAACTGTAAGATAATGTCCTTAAATTCTGGTGCAGTGTGCTATGCAACAATAAATAAGACAATCCTATCCAACTCTATCATTCAATACTCCTATGGTGCTTTAGATGTTAATTTGCATTTGGACAGGCAAAAAGAAAAAAATCCCTGTTCAATATAAGCAAATGAGTAACATTAGAACTTCAAAGTGGCAAATAATAAGACTTAAAACAGTTAAGTTTTCAATTCAAACAATGAGGTTTTAAAAATGTAGCATTTGTCATATGGTATTAAAATACACGTTTTCAATAGGAATGGAGTATCTCATTAAAAACACTAGCTATAACTAAAAATACAAACACAACCAATCATCTTTTTTTTAACTGAAAACAGTTCATTAAAAGGTAAAGTGTGAACAACCACTAAAAGCATCTCAGTGATTTAGTGTCCCTTGCTTTCTAGAATTTAACATTACCAGTTGAGTACAGTGGTTCACACCTGTAAGCTCAGCACTCTGGGAGGCAGATCACAAGGTCAGGAGTTCGAGATCAGCCTGGCCAACATGGTGAAACCCTGTTTCTACTAAAAATACAAATATTATCTGGGTATAGCAATGCATGCCTGTAATCCCAGCTCCTCAGGTGGCTGAGTTTGGAGAATCATTTGAACCTGAGAGGCCAAGATTGTAGCAAGCCAAGATGGTGCCATGGCACTCCAGCCTGAGTATTGGAGCAAGACTCTGTTTCCATAAAAAAAAAAAAAAAAAGGCTGGGCGCGGTGGCTCACGTCTGTAATCCCAGCACTTTGGGAGGCCAATGTGGGTGGATCACGAGGTCAAGAGATCGAGACCATCCCGGTCAACATGGCGAAACCCCATCTCTACTAAAAATACAAAAAATTAGCTGGCCATGGTGGCGCATGCCTGTAATCCCAGCTACTCAGGAGGCTGAGGCAGGAGAATTGCCTGAACCCAGGAGGCAGAGGTTGCAGTGAGCCAAGACCGCGCCATTGCACTCCAGCCTGGGTAACAAGAGTGAAACTCCGTCTCAAAAAAAAAAAAAAAAAAAAAAAAAAAATAGGCCGGGCGCGGTGGCTCAAGCCTGTAATCCCAGCACTTTAGGAGGCCGAGGCGGGCGGATCACAAGGTCAAGAGATCGACACCATCCTGGCCAACATGGTGAAACCCCGTCTCTACTAAAAATACAAAAATTAGCTGGGCGTGGTGGCGCACACCTGTAGTCCCAGCTACTCAGGAGGCTGAGGCAGGAGAATTGCTTGAACCCAGGAGGTAGAGGTTGCAGTGAGCCGAGATTGTGCCACTGCACTCCAGCCTAGCGCCTGGCGACACAGTAAGACTCTGTCTCAAAAAAAAAAAAAATAGCATTTATCATTATTAATTAGGCACTCACCAACTTTGAAAAACTCCATTTTGTCTTTATCAGTATAAGCTTTTAAAGTTGTAAGTGCTTATCTACACACCTGCATGTATTTATTCAGTATTAGAGGCTGCTAACACTGGTGGCTGATTGCAAGAAGTAAGCACAGCAAGATACTGGGGTACCTTTTTGAAAGTTCTAATCTTCTTTTTATTTTTTGAGACGCAGTCTTGCCCTGTTACCCAGGCTGGGGTGCAACGGCTCAATCTCAGCTCACTGCAACCTCCACCTCCCAGGCTCAAGCGATTCTCCTGCCTCAGCCTCCCGAGTAGCTGGGGATATAGGCGCACACAACCAGGCCCAGCTAAATTTTGTATTTTTAGTAGAGAGGGGGTTTCACCATGTTGGCCAGGCTGGTCTCAAACTCCTGACCTCAGGTGATTCGCCTGCCTGGGCCTTCCAAAGTGCCAGGATTACAGGCGTGAGCCAACAGGCCTGGCCTGAAAGTTCTAATCTTCTGATATATAGAAGATATTCCATGAAGTAACAAAAACAAAAACTCTATGAACATAAAATTGACCATATGCTTTAAATATTCTGTAAGGCTTTCCTTTACAATATAAAGAGCTATATAAATTAAAACACATGAAACTAGTATGTCTACCACAGCACTCCATAACTGGCTAACATTCTGAAAATTATACTTTTTTAATCAAACCAGTTACATTAGATTTATATCAATTTTAAAATTGTAATTGGTAATTATACCATGGACAATTCAGAATGCCCACAGTGGTACATCTGAAAGACTCTGTTTCTACTTTAAAGACATGCCCAGTCTACTGTCATATATTTTAAACAATTTGATCAAATATCAAGACATATCAAAAAAATGCAGAGTAATTTTATAATACCTATGGTTAAAATCCATCTCCTTGGCCAGGGATGGTGGCTCATACCTGTAATCTCAGCACTTTGGGAGGCGAAGGTGGGTGGATCACCTGAGGTCAGGAGTTCGAGGCCAGCCTAGCCAACATGGTGAAATCCTGTCTCTACTAAACATACAAAAATTAGCTGGGCGTGGTGGCAGGCACTTGTAGTCCCAGCTACTCTGGAGGCTGAGGCAGGAGAATCGCTTGAAACCAGGAGGCAGAGGTTGCAGTGAACCTAGACTGCACCACTGCACTCCAGCACAGGTGACAGGGCGATAGTGTTTCAAAAAATTAAATAATAATAATAATAAAAAGCCACTTCCTCTTTGAAAAAAGTTTCCAGCTATAGTTGATTCCAATTACAACTAAGTACTTTCAGAGAAATGTATTCATGTGTCCCAAAAATGCCCTACAACGATCTGGTCAGGCATATTAGGACAGGCAATACCAGATTCCAAACTACTAAATGAAAAGAGGCAGGGCAGTTTACGGGGAGAGGGCACTACAAACTGGGGAAGATGGGATCCTCATGAAGAATTAATGATACAACCTGTAACTGCAATGTACGGCTGATATGTCATACTTTAATTATAAATTACGTTTTGCCTGAGAAATTAAAAGCTGTACAAATAAATCTATATAATCCCCAATAAACTGCTTTATAAAATTGCATTGTTATTAAACTAATATTTATAATTTTTTTATATCAGCACCCATCCTACAGTTGATAGGCAATTCTCACTTAAATGCCTTATTTGGAAACATGAAAAGCAAACAAAATTTACTATCCCTATTCTTAGACTACAAACTGCTACAAAACTATCAGTTCAATACTTCTTACTCTAAAAAGGTCATGGGGTCCCTTAAAGAGCTTTTTAAAGTGTTTTTCATTTTGATTTTTTAAAGTAGGTACCCAAAAACACTGCTTTTATGTAAGGAAAACATAAGTCTTACTCCACAAACTATTCTAGTGGAAATAAATGCCATAGGCAGGGGAAAAAAAAAAAAAAAAAGGAAACTAACATCAGATACCAATTTTATATGTGAGGTGCCACATTTTGACATTTTTACATTAACTCATTTACTCCTCATTATCTCGGGATGTAGGCATTATCTCCATTTTTCTAGAGGTCTGGTTATTTGCCTACAGTCACACTGCTAGGATCAAAACCCAGTTCGCTCTGGCTCAAAGTCCTGTTTTCTTCACTATATACCAAATTATAATAGACTTGCCTTTTTTAAAAAAATTTTTAAGCATCAGCATAATGAAAAATAAAAGATTTGCCTTCTTATTTTTCCTGTAAAAAGTCAAGGGTCTTTACCTCTAGGACAACAAAGAGGTAAAGCTCCTATATAGAACTTAGGGAGGATTATTTAGAATCAAATGATGCACAAATAAAAATTATAATTATTATTGATTCTAAACACTCATCTAATATTTTGTGTCCCTCTAAGGGACACAAATACATCTAAGTGTGAATAATCACACTGTGCATGTCTCAAACTATGCAATCTAATAGAGAATTCAATTTTGCAATATCTAGAGTTTTCCCTCTATTATGATCTGTACACAAAAATGATCAGATACCCAGCACCGAACGTGTCTAAAACAAAAGGAGATAATAGGAGTAAAGAGAAGGGTAGGCACAAAGGAAAAAAAAAAAACAAAAACCATTTGGCAGACTATATCTTCTAGAACCTAAACAGTAATCCTCGATTTCTGGATTGTCTGTATATTTAAAAGCTTGATGAATATCTTAGATTTTTTTTATATTCATATTCTTTGTTGAAAAGCAAATCAAGTCACTCTTCCTAGCACTTCATTCCAGACAAGCCAAGTAAGCTAAAATGTAAAATTTACACGACTTTCCAAGCTGAAGTATTTAGGAATTAAGGACCACAATGCATGTAACTTAAATGGTCCAGGGGAAAAATATTTTGTGTCTGATAGAGAGCAAATAATAAATGCATAAAATGTTAACAGGTGAATCTGAATAAAGGTTACCAAAATGTTGTTCGTATTATTCTTGTAATTTTTCTGTAAGGTGGAAATTATTTCCAAATAAATTAAAATTTTTAAATTGCACAGCCCTATTTGAAATTAACAATACGTACTTGGATCATACAGCAACATTCTTACAAATAGAAAACACTGGTTTTTATGGAAAAAAAATGCAGTAATTTGTGAGCAAGTATGTACCATATCCTACCAACTAATCATCACTTAGGAATAAATTTCAGACTACCCTACTATATAATGAAATGTGGCAATGGTGACTTGACTTGAAACCATAGCAGGAAAAACACACAAACACACCAGATAGTTTGGCATAACTGCTTCACAAATTTAATACAGGCCTGCTGCAAAATGCAGCAAATCTACAATTAAAGTGATATGTGATATCTCTGGTTTGCAGTAAAATACAAACTGAACAATGAAAATCTTGCCATATTACAAAACAGAAATGGAGAGTAAGTCTTGGTTTGGTAGTTCTATTAAATAACATTTTTCCACCACAGCTCAGTTCACAACTGTATACTTGAATCATCTAAAGAAAACAAGGACGGGGAAAAAATAATCCTGGAGAAACATTGAAATATTTTCTCCTCCAAGGTTACTATCATCCTGCCTGCCCATCACAATTTTGATTTCATATTGACCATGCTGGTCTAAAACAGAGGATGCATCAGAAGCCAAGTAATGCTCAGCAAAAGTTCCCAAGGATTATAAAATCAAACATCAAATAATAAAACGTTTTCAGTTAACAGTAAAGTATCTTTAACGGATCCTCTCCATCCTTTCTTCAGGATCCACCCACTTTAAAATCCTTTGGTAAATTCCCAGGTCTACCCTAATCGAATGGTCCCTCTCTATCTACTCAAACAGTTCTTAACCCTTTGGAGTGGGGATTGGGGGGCGGGGGTAAGGGGACATCACAGACAATATGGACCCTTACCAAAGAAAATTATTCACAAATGCAAAATTCTACACATATTTCCAAGGACTTTCAGAACCCCACGGCCATTATGCCCATCCCCTCCTTAAGAATCCCAGCGTGGCGTGCTCCTCAATCGCCTCTGCGGAGCACCCCCCCCACCTCCGGGCCACGGTCCCCGCGTCGCCCCCTGAGAAATAGGAGTTCCTGCTCTCACACAGTGGATTCCGTAACAGAGCTTTGTCTCCTCGCCCAACTCCCTTCACCCTGGCAAGGTCACTACCGCCAACTACCCCTTTAAGCCGAGCCATCATGGTAGGAGTTCGTAGGAGCCACAGCAGAACTTGCCCGTCATAGGATATATTTTGTCCCCTCGGCCCCACCTACCTTCTCCATTTCAGCAAGTTACGTCTTCATCACTCACCCATTCTACAGAAATAGCCGCCGCCGCCACCCCCCGGCACGCCCCGGCCCAGTCGCTCCGCCTCCAGCACCCCCAGGCCCATTCCCCGCAGACCCTCCCCGGGTCGCCCCCCCATCCTCCCCCAGGTGTTCCCCCCGCTTCACGGCCACACTGCGGCTGCACTCGCCGTCCCCTCTTCCGGCCGTAACCACCCTGGCCCCCGAGACCCCCAGCCTCCCGAGCCCGCAGCCGCGCTCCTGCCTCCCCCACCTCTGCACCCCCACTTGGCCCGGCCTCCTCGCCTTCTTCCCGGCTCCTCCCCTCAGGACACCTGTGTCGTCCCACCCCCTCTGCCACACACGCCCCCCCCACCCCAATTGCTTCGCCTCCCGGTCCTCCCTCCCCCGCCGGTCTCCCCTCCCGCTGCTGCCCCGAGAGAGCCGGAGGAGGGAGGGAAGGCGAGGGGGAGGGGAGGCCGCGAAGGGGGCCGCTGTTCTCCGGGTTTGCCGCGCCGCGCCGCGGACCTGCAGGGCTCCCCAGCGCCCTCTGCCTCCTCCGCCGGCGGGGCGGAAGTCGGGGTCTCCCGGGCGCCACAGACGAGGGGTATTTACCTTCTCGCCGGGGACACTTTGCAGACGGCTCCAACATTGGCAAACACTACAGAGAACTGACCCCGCTCGGCCGCCGCCGGCTTCCACCCCTCGGGCTCCCCGCCCCCCGCCTCCGCCCGCCTCCCCGGCGCTCGCGCCGCGCGCCCCCGCCTGCGCAGCCGCTCCCGCGCCCCAGCACGCCCGACCGGCGCGCGCGCCCGGCTCCAGCTCTACCTCCACTCCGCCTCCCGCCAGCCCGCGACCCAGCGCGGCCATTGTTCGCGACGCCGCTCCCGCCCCCTGGCGGCTGCCGGGCCCCCGCAGCTGCAGACTCTTCGGGGCCCGTGGCGGCGAGCTGGATCCCAGGGCGAGGGCCGTTCCGGGGGGCCTTGGGCACGCGGGCGAGCGAGTGCGCGAGGAGCGCGCCCCGTCCGCAGTCTCCTCGTCCCCGGCGTGCCTCCCCGCCCCCTCGTCTGGTAAGGGTGGGCCTGGGGCAGCCCCTTCCACACCTGCACTCGGCAACTTCCTTCCCCGTCCGACTGACCGTCTGCTCTTTCTGATCACCCTGTGCTCAGATTCCCCGCTCGTACCTTTCCCAGGCTCTCTGGTTGCCCCTCTCTGCTGTGCAGGGGACGCGCGACCATCCCGCGTCTGCTCCGGCCGCCGCTGTGCGACGCACGATTTAGCGGATCCTGCACCTTTCCAGACGGGGGAGGGGGCGGGGAGGAGGTTGCTTCACCGTCTCGCCCAGCAAACACCGGGGATCCGTAATCACCTGCTCGCCAAGACCGGCGGCGTGGCCAGACCGCCTCCTCCACCGAAAGAATTAGTCACATGAAAAAGAAATCCTTGGAGCCAAAAATGAGGACCATTGAAAGCAATGCCCTAGATCCTAGATTTATGCAGCAAGAGTGCCAGAAAACACAAATTACCTCTTGATTCGTCCTAATTTTGATGTGGATTACTTTTGTCTAGATAACTTCAACCCAGTTAAGCTCGATGAAACTGAACACTTCGTTTAGTAAACGGCACCAAAAATAATCTGACAATAAAAGAAATTTCGAAACAGAATTATTAGTGTGTTTTCGCAAACTTACCCATTTGCAACGTTATTTCTAGGGTTTCTCCTAGTGTCACTTCTCTAACTGAGAAATGTCTCCCAGGCAGGTAATTTCAGTCACCATCTAAAACCAGTCTCCTATCTGCACCTGGAAAGGTGGTGTGTCCTGGTTAAGGGCACGGGCGCCAGAGTCAAATACCCAAGGCTGGTAATCTGCTTGCTAACTGGAGAGGAGACCACGGACATGTTACTTACCCTGTGCATCAGGAGGAGACTACATGCGATATTGTGTATTTAAATGTGACAATGCATAAAGCCCTTTAAGTAGGGCCTGGCATATAAAACCTCTCCCGGTACAATGTTAGCTACGGCTATATTTTTTTCCCAGAACTCTTTGCGCGTTTTCACCTCTGCCAGTTCCCTCAGATTTAACATGTTGCATCCTCCCTAAATCTGCAGCACTCCTTCTAGGGAGCTCAACACCTATTCAGCATTCTAATACAGCCAGTCTAATGCCTCACCTAACCACAGGAAAATATGTTCTGAGGAACATGTCATTAAGCGATTTTTGTCGTTTTGTGCACATCATAGCATGTTCTTGCACAAACCTAGGTAGTCTAGCCCACTATTCGCCTTTGCTATATGATATATAGCTATTGCTCCTAGGCTACAAACCTGTGCAGTGCATTACTGTACTAATACTGCAGGCAATTACAGCACAATGGTATTTGTACCTAAACATATCTAAATATAGAAAACGTACAGTAAAAGAACTGTATAATCTTTGTTTTTGAGACGAAGTCTTGCTCTGTTACCCAGACTAGAGTGCAATCTCAGCTCACCGCAACCTCTGATTCCCTGTAATTTTTCAAGCGATTCTCCTGTCTCTAGTAGCCGGGATTACAGGAGCATGCCACCACATCCAGCTAAGTTTTGTATTTTTAGTACGGACGGGATTTCACCATGTTGGCCAGGCTGGTCTCAAACTCCTGACCTCAAGTGACCCTCCCGCCTCAGCCTCCCAAGGTGCTGAGATTACAGGCGTGAGCTACTTGCACCCAGTTTAAAGAACCGTATAATCTTAAGGAACTACTGTAGTATATGCAGTCCACCCATCCATTATTGACTGGAAGAATTTGACCAAAAATTGTTGAATGTTTTGAATGAGTATCTTCCCTACCCACCAGCCATACCAAAGGTCAAGCCACCTATCTCTGTGCCTTTCCATAGGCTATTATCTCTCGCTGCAGGATACCCTCTACCCTCCTCTTACCTGGTGAACAAATTATCTCTCACAGCATTCAAAAATCACCTTCTTGGCTGGGTGAAGTGGCTCATGCCTGTAATCCCAGCACTTTGGGAAGCCAAGGTGGGCAGATCACGAGGTCAGGAGTTTGAGACCAGCCTGGCCAACATGGTGAAACCTCATCTCTACCAAAAATACAAAAATTAGTCAGGTGCGGTGACATGCACATGCAATCCCAGCTATTTGGAAGGCCGAGGCAAAAGAATCGCTTGAACCAGGGAGGCAGAGGTTGCAGTGAGCTGAGATCATGACCCTGCACTCCAGCCCTGGTGACAGAGCAATACTCCATCTTGAGAAAAGAAAAGAAAAGAAAAAAAATCACTTCCTTGAGAGGCATTCTCTAACACTCCTCTAAGCAGGCCAGTGCTCTTCTCTTGTTCCTCTCTTCTCTGGTATTGTAGGTATGTTAGAATTGTGTTTTCTAGCCTGCCTATATCTGCCAAACATTGCATTGTTGAAAGGCAGGCTCTATGTCTCATACATATCTGTAGTCCCAGCATCCAACAGCAAGTAGGTGAACAGTAAAGGCCTTTAGTGTAAATGGATGAGTTTATGCTTTTGGAAATCACTCTGAAGTGGTCAGAAATTTCATTATGTTTGATTCATATCATTAATCGAAAACTTTGTCTCCTGTAACTGTTTCTCATAACTGATTTTCAGTCATTGGTAAACCCCAAATAGAATGACTTTTCCTAAGTCACAATTATCTGAAAGGAAATTGTTTTCTAATTTGAATCAGCACTTTCAGATACTCAAGGTATGTAGCATCCATACATGAAATCACTTAAGTGACATGGAAATCCACACATCACTCTACGATCATTTCAGGATTTACTTTTTTAAAAATTTGTGTAGGAGTTGAAAATAATGAATATTTAAAGAGCAGTGGGCCAGCCGGGCGCAATGCCTCACATCTATAATCCCAGCACTTTGGGAGGCCAAGGTGGGCATGTCGCCTGAAGTCAGCAGTGTGAGACTAGCCTGGGCAAAATGGTGAAAACCCCATCTCTACTAACATCAGAAAAACTAGCTGGGCGTGGTGGTGCATGCCTATAGTGCCAGTTACTGAGGAGGCTGAGGTGGGAGAATCACTTGAGCCTGGGAAGCAGAGGTGGCAGTGAGCTGAGATCACATTCCAGCCTGGGCAACAGAGCAATACCCTGTATTTAAAAATGAAAATAAATAAAGAACAGTGGGCCTATTAATAGGCAGCTGATGAAAAGCAACTGAGGCCAGGCACAGTGGCTCATGTCTGTAATCCCAGCACTTTAGAAAGCCGAAGCAGGAGGATCTCTTGAAGCCAAGAGTTTGAAACCAGAGTAGGCAATAGGGCGAGACCCCCATCTCCATTTAATTAAAAATAAATTTAAAATTAAATTTAAAAAATAAATCGTCTGATTTATCAGCAATTTTTTTTTTTTTTTTTTTTAGTTTTGCTCTTGTTGCCCAGGCTGGATTGCAAAGGTGTGATCTTGGCTCACTGCAACCTCTACCTCCCAGGTTCAAGCGATTCTCCTGCCTCAACCTCCCAAGTAGCTGGGATTACAGGTATGCACCACCATGCCTAGCTAATTTTACATTTTTAGTAGAGACGGGGTTTCTCCATGTTGGTCAGGCTGGTCTCGAACTCCTAGCCTCAGGTGATCCACCTGTCTCAGCCTCCCAAAGTGCTGGGATTACAGGCATGAGCCACCGAGCCTGGCCTTATCAACACATTTTTAGCAGGCACCATTGCAGAGAAATGTTCAAGCATCAGAAAAAAGATAATGCTTTCAAATTCACCATGATTGGATTTGAGCAGTTGGAATGGGACAGATGTCAGAATCACAAACTCCAGTTTCCCTCTATGTTCTCTTCTTTTCATATCTTATGATGTCCCTTTCTTCATATTTATTTTCCTGTAGAATACATCTAGTGCCCAGCACCCACCATAGAAGTTATCGTCCTTTATTGATGATATCAGATTTTTTTTTTTTTTTTGAGATAGAGTTTTTGCTCTTGCCCAGGCTAGAGTGAAGTGGCACGATCTTGGTTCACTGCAACCTCCGCCTACAGGGTGCAAGCGATTCTCATGCCTCAGTCTCCTGAGTAGCTGGGATTACAGGCATGCACTAACCAGCCAGGCTAATCATTTTTTTTCATGACTTGATTATTTGTTTTGATAGATCCCATGCAAAGGAGGGGCCTAAAGTATAAGTTTCATTAGCTTTACATTAAATGTGACCCCTAACACAACTCTCCCAGACAGGGAGTTACCTTTTTTTTTTTGAGATGGAGTCTCACTCTGTCACCCAGGCTAGAGTGCAGTGGCATGATCTTGACTCACTGTAACCTCCACCTCAATTTTTGTATTTTTAGTAAAGATGGGGTTTCACCATGTTAGTCAGGTTGGTCTTGAACTCCTGACCTCATGATCCTCCCAAAGTGCTGGGATTACAGGTGTGAGCCACTCCACCCAGACCTTTTATTATTATTATTATTTTATTATTACACTTTATGTTCTGGGGTACATGTGCAGAATGTGCAGGTTTCTCACATGGGTATACACATGCCATGGTGGTTTGCTGCACCCATCAACCTGTCATCTATATTAGGTATTTCTCCTAATGCTATCCCTCCCCAGACCCCCACCCCCACTGACAGGCCCCAGTGTGTGATGTTCCCCTCCCTGTATCCATGTGTTCTCATTGTTCAACACCCACTTATGCATGAGAACATACAGTGTTTGGTTTTCTGTTCTTATGTTCTTTTGCTGAGAATGGTGGTTTCTAGGTTAATCCATGTCCCTACAAAGGACATAAACTCACCCTTTTTTTATAGCTGCATAGTATTCCATTGTATATATGTGCCACATTTTCTTTATCCAGTCTATCATTAATGGGTATTTGGGTTAGTTCCAAATCTTTGCTATTGTGAACAGTGCCGCAATAAACATATGTGTGCATGTGTCTTTATAGTAGAATAATTTATAATCCTTTGGGTATATACCCAGTAGTGGGATTGCTGGGTCAAATGGTATTTCTAGTTCTAGATCCTTGAAGAATCACAGATGCTAGAGAGGATGTGGAGAAATAGGATGCTTTTACACTGTTGGGGGGAATGTAAATTAGGCCTAGCTAATTTTTGTATTTTTAGTAGATACAGTTTGTTTTGCCATGTTTCCAAGACTGATCTTGAACTCCTGGCCTCAAGTTATCTGGCCCCTTCAGCCTCCCAAACTGCTGGGATTACAGGAATGAGCCACCACATGGTCCTGAATTTATTTTTGTCGTTTATGTGTTTCTTCTACCACATGGTCCTGAATTTATTTTTGTCATTTATGTGTTTCTTCTATTATATCTTAAGCTCCTTGAAGGCAACAATGACTTTCTCATCTTCATTTCTCTGGGATTTAGCACAGTGCTCACTAAATGCTTGTTGAACGAAGGGATTAGCGAATTTGGTCAACATTTACTGAATACCTATTATGTGCCATACTTGGAGGAGGATCATTTGTGGCCAGGAGTTCAAGACCAGCCTGGGCAACATGGCCAAATC